CTCGAGTCAGCGCCAGCGCGTCTTCTTACTTACCTCGCCGAGCGTCGCGTCACTGCTGCTCGGTGTGCGGCGCTCCGAGCGGGGTCATCTGGCAGTCTCCGGCCACCTAAATTAGGACCCGGAGACTGCCAGATGACCCCGCTCGGAGCGCCGCACACCGAGCAGCAGTGACGCGACGCTCGGCGAGGTAAGTAAGAAGACGCGCTGGCGCTGACTCGAGTATAAGCCGAGGGGGGCACTTTTCACCCAAAAAAATGGGCTGAAAATCTCGGCTTATACTCGAGTATATACGGTAAATTGAAAATTCAAACAAAAAATGTCACTTGGGTGTTTTATATTTATCTTTTATAAAATGTGAAAGGAATGATTCTGAAAAGTCATATCCATGTTTAGGTTTCTTTTATCATCCAACTTTGGATTTGCACTGCTGAAAGCCTGTGTTGTTGTTGCTAAGGGGGGTATATAGGAGCTGTAAGATACTTCAAGATTTTACATTGCCATATTGCTTTACAGAATGCTTTATGATAGGGTTGTTGACTTGCTTTCAGAGGAAAACTGGGATCCAGCAAAGATTTAGGCTTCATTCACACGAGAAAAGGCCGGCACGTACAGCTCCGTGCTGTGTACACGGCTGTATTGGGCAGATCCCGGGAAGGATAGGTGCTGCGTGTGATTAGTACTCAGCCCCTATCCTTCTCTATGGGAGTACGGTGCCCTATGCTCACCCCAAGTGCAGGTCTGTACGGGTGCGTGATTCCTGGCCCGGACGCAGACAGGATCCATCCGGTCAGCGTATGAGTACCCTCACGGACTTGTAGGACCGTGTACTCCCATAGAAAAGGACGGGGGGGTTGATACAGCAATGAGCTGTTTAGGGCTCATCTACTACTTTGTGGTACGTTAACATGCCTTGGGCTTACAATGCACCCTAAAATGTCCCTTTCTTGTAACGCAACACGGTGTGCTACAATGCAGGTGAGTTGCTTTGGTACGGTGAGGTGACCTAACTGTTCTAGAGGAGGCTTCTATGGCCACCCAGAAGAGGGATACAATTGCAGGGGTAGTCTGATATTTTAGCTGTGCCATAGTAATTTAGGACTGTCGGACTTCTGCTGTGTTTTGACTTGAAGGTCAGTGCACATCATCATGTTTTGATGCATTTTAATTAATTTGGATCAAGCCAAAATGCAAAGGTGAGAATCCAGTCTAAATCCAAACTCCCTTCTATGAAAGTGCGCAAAGAGCCAATTAGTGTTGTGCTGAAGTGGAAGAGAGAGCAGAGACACCAAGAAATGAGCATCAGTCTGCTGCTGTTTCTTTCACTGTCCAGTCACAGGCTGGGAGTGAGAAGACCTGTAAAGTGTTACTAATCTGCAGCAGCGAAAAATCAGGACTGTGCTATATGCCAGAGCTGTGCAATTCTCAGACATGGACTGACCGAAATACAAATCCTTTCACAAATAAAACAGATCTGTGTATTTATCTGCAGCTCAGTTTTAATAAGTACAGACTGTAATCATTCATGGATGAAAATAGGCCATTGTCCTTCCAGCGGGATGTCAGCTGACTGATGTATTTCAAAATGATTTGTACCTTTTTAATGCCAAATCAAGCGCTGTTATTTCAAGTAATGCGCACATTTCTCTTCTAGTCCCAGATTACAAGGCCTCTTATGAGTTGGCACTGCATCATGGAAACCTTGCTTGTTCTTTCAGCATGCTTTGAGTAATATTATTGTCTGTGACTGGAACAGAAATGTCTTTGCTCTGAAATTCCTATGGCTAATGCCCTGTTAAGATGCCAATGGTCCTATTGTGTATTCTAGATTTAATTTGATGGTAATACAAGAGCAAAATGCACCTTTTATTATCCATTGCTGCCTTTTGTTGTAACTGGAACAGGAAGTAAGACAATATCTCCCCGTAGGACACATACAGTGGTAAAAGTGAGCAGAGGTAGTGGCTGGAGTTGGTCGTTACATGTAATACAGTATCAGACTGAGTCATATTTTGATAGGGAGGGAAACAACTACCCATGCCATAATTATCAACATTACCATTTTACAACAGGCACCATCTCTTCACTTCAATGGCATTGCTTTCCATAATCATCAGCACCGTTTGTTCATTTCATTTTAGCCACTGAGGAGTGTTTATTTCTGTCAAAGTTCAGGTAAACCAAAAACAAGGGACTGCCAAATTCTACCCATTCATGAAGGTTCCTGATCACTGTCCTGGCAGATCTTTAGGCCGGGTTCACACCTGGGCGTTTTTCAGCGCTGAAAAACGCTCAGCAAGTGAAATATTATTGAGTGCTATGGGTATGGTTCCCACTTGGGCGTATTTCAGCGCCATTTGTCGCGCTGAAAAACACCCTACGCCTGAAATAGTACAGCAGCTTCTTTGGGGCGGATTTCAGCGGGTATCCATTGGTATTCCCAAGTGTGGTCAGGGGTTAACAAAGCAGTAACCCCGAGCCACACTCAGGAATACAGCATAGGTCTTACCTTTCTCCTTTAAAATATATCTAAAGCCAAAACATAATTTTCACATTCTGGATAGAATAGGGAATGTTTATTGTTTTTGCCATATGTGTCCCATTGAAGAGCTGTAAACACAACAGGAAGTGAGGGCGAGTCACTAACGTGAGGTAAACAGAGGTTCCCATTGGAAGATTTCCTTGCTAAACTTGTTCTGGTAGTAACACAAAAATTTACCCTTTCCCTTAAAGAAGAACTATGAGGTGAGTGAAAAATCACTCATCCTCATAGTTCGAGCCGACCTGTGACAATGAGACTGTCACAGGTCGGCTCAATGGATCGGGAGGTGAGCAAACACATACTGTCGCTCGCTCACTTCTCGATCATGTTCCTGTAGAAAGGCGT